CTCCCGCCGCCGCTCCCCGGCCACAGCGAGGTCCCGTGCGGCGGCTCGGGGACAGACCAGAGGCCCCCGCCGGCTCCGGAGTCGCCGCGGCGGCTGTGACGCCCGAGGCCCCGCTCCCTCCGTAACACGCTCCCCTCCCCTGGAGGCTGCGCTGACCGGACAATGGCCGCTCCGCCCCCTCCCCTCCGCGCGCACCCCTCCCAAGGAGTGGCGATGGTCTTGCCCGGGGAAACCACCGCCAAAGCCCAGCAGCTGATCAGCTGGGATCCGGGCGTGCCACTTTGTTCCGCGCCTCGGAGTCCGGGGCCGTGGACAACGCCGAGAGCGTTGAGCAACGGGCTTCTGAGGCCTTCGTGTTCTAGGAACTTTCACAATATGAGGCAAACTTACCTTCCCCTGTCAGGGGAAGGGGACTCGGTTTCTGAGTACTCTGGGGCGCGTCACCCCCCCCCCGCAAAGCGAATGGTACGCCCCAAGCGGGCGGGGGAGGAGCAGATTAGTTGTTTAGGGTAAGTTGGGCCGGTCCCAGAGCAGCGGCGCATGCGCCCGGAGACCCTACACCGGTTGCTGGGAGGGGCCGCGAGGGAGCGTTGCCAAACCCGGAAGTGGGTGTCGGGCTTCCCGGGGTTTCTGGGGTCTTGCCCTGCTGGCTGGGTCCCAGAGGTGGCTCTCCTCGCTCCTGGACTATGCTGGGGAGGGTTTCTCCCCAAATTGCAAAACCCCCTGGGGATCTGTCTCGATTCCCAGATCTCCACACCGTTCCACCCGGAAAACTGGTCTCCTCTTGGCTGTAATGAATTTCTGAGAAATGGAACTCTCCCACCGCCACTTGCCCCCAGCCAACAGCTTGGGAGGTCAAGGTCTCTCGTGCACCAGCGCCCCAGTCTCAGAGCCACAAGTCCGCTCCTTGTGCCTTGACTTGGACAGCTTTTCTTCTTCCTAGAAAGAGAGATTGGGCTGTATGGAGGGGAAAGGGGGCATTTGGCTGAATCAATGACGGGAATTGATAAGCGACCGAAGAAATTTGAACCACTAGAAAGAATCCTAGTTTAACATTCCTTGTCCTTGATCTTGAACTCTGTTCCCCCGCCAATTGAGAGCAGAGTAGCCTGTTGATAACTAATTTCAATACAGAGGAAACTTGCAGCAGTTTCTTGGGAGAGGTGACCTACCGCTGAGGGCCTTGAAAGATAATTTCTAAGTCCTTGGTACTTCCAGGAGGGTCCCTGGCTCAGGGCAATAGCTGCATGTACCCATCCAATGGCTCAGGATATTCCCTATATCAATTTTATTGCCCAGTGTTAACTTTTATTTCTTTATATACAGATCACGTTTCAGTTTCACATTCTCTGTGGATTTCTTAACATTGTGTCTTTGGCCTCTGAACTTTAAAGTAAGAACCACATTCAGCCTAGTATCCTTCTAAAGATACTATTGATAGTGAAGAAAACATTTGCAAAAACCAAAGTATTTAACGCCAGAGCGTGAGTGCTGGTTTTTCTGCGTAATATTTAGCTTCCATCTTGTAAAAATTGGCAAATCTTTAGTAAATATTTCTAACAGAAGTGCATTAGATGAATGAAGCCATACAGTATATGGCTCATTGGATTCGTTCATATTGCCTTTAAATCTTAAACTGGTTTGTTTTTAAAATCTTCCACCCGTATAAGAAATTTACAGCCTCTGAATTTAACAAAGTGAGGTTAAGTGCGACTCTCTTTATTGGCATCTAAATAAATGATTTTCTTTTACGTGTGGAAAAGAAATCTCAAACCCAACGGAAAATTTAATATAAAAGTTATCTTAGAACTGCTTGCCTCCCTGTTGGCCAGTTATTTAATTCCACAAGCGTTTATGATGTACAAGGCATTTCCTCAGTCTCTCAAGACTAAAAGGATTAATAAAATAGCATTCATTCACTAGTAGATCCAGACCCTACATAAAGAAGTTAGGTAACCTGGCGTCAGGTCAGTCTTCCTCTCAGGCTTTATTTAAGGCTCTCCTCCATGCGCACTGCAGATCAGCCACAAGCTGCCATTTCTCAAATTCTTGCTTGTTTTTACATCTCCATTTCTTTGTCCCTCCTGTTCCCCTTTGCCCCAAGTGCCCTTTCTCCCTCCCTCCCAGCCCTCTCCTTTTCTCCCTCCCTCCATCCCTCTCTCCCTCTCTCTTCTCTCTCCCTATCCCATCTTTTTTTCAGTCCTAGGGAATGAACCCTGGGTCTTTGCACTGAGCTGCATCCCAGCCCCCCACCTTCTTTTTGAGAAAGACACTTGTTGAGTTGCCCAGGCTGAGCTTGAACTTGCAATCCTCGTGCCTCAGCCTCCCAGAGTCCTGGAATTACAGGTATGCACCACTATATCTGGCTTGATTCTAGATTTTATCAGGTTCGTTCTTCTACTCAGTAACCACGGACAAAGTTTGCTCTGATCACAGTCCTTTCGGAGCTCGGCTTTACGACAGCAAACCAACGTGTAAATTTCCCAGTTGGTCCTATAAGGGAGAGTATGTGGACAGAGGAAGGAAGGACCCACTTCTGTGGCAGAGTTTGGAAGGCAGTGAAGAGAGAACAGCTCCTGAAAGAGTAGTGGGAGCATCCTGGGCAAGAGAGAGGAGGGAGCCTGGTGCGGTGCTAGACGCCTGTGATTCCAGCCCTCTGGGAGGCTGAGGCAGGAGTGTCACATGTTCCAGCCCAGAATGGACAACTTAGCAAAACCCTGTCTCAAAATAAAAAATTTTTAAAAAGTTGGGATATAGCTCAGTGCAGAGCCTCTGGGTTCAATTACAGCACCACCAAAAAACATCCAGTCTCAACCAAAGGTCTTTTGTCTGCCAGTAACGTATGCCTATATCTTACAGATCCCAAAGGCTGAGGGCAATAAGATCTCACAAAGAACTGACACAAGGAGCTGACATATTAACAGGAAGCCAGTAGGTACTCTGAAAGCTCTTTCTCTAGTCACATGTTCTTGCATCTCTGCTTCTCTTTCCAAAACTTTGGGCTTGCTTATCCGCATTTCCAGAACCAGTGGAGACTAATTAGTACCTGTGAACCCCAGTTGCCAGAAGAAAGAAACTGAATGGTCCAGTTTATGTCAGGTTTGTCTGCCCTTGGTACCGATTCATCTTTGGCCAGGGGATCAGATGGTAGTCAAGGCTCTTGTGGTACAAACTCAGCTGGCAGACATCCATCCTTATAAGCTGCAAATCCCAAAAAGATCAGTTGTGTTCTTAGCGAAGATCTAAAAGGTGTCTGCTGCAGATGAAAAGTAGTAAACTGCAGCTGAAATCCAAAACCATAAGGAACAGTGGGCTTGTTCAAGAAATTTCCAACAGACTCATTCCTACTTAAACTATGTCAGGCCTTGATTTAAACACTGTCCCTCAAAGAAGCCTTCGCTCCCCCTCAAACATGTTCTCCCATTATTATCTGACAAGGCACAGTTTTCCTTTGTAACAGCTACCACAGTTTGTAATTAAATATGTATTCATGAGTCTCCTCTCCAAAGATCCTATCGGTTTTGTTCACCATGATATACACAATGCCCGGGGCAATTTTGGAAGATGTTCTATGAATAGTTGTTGAATGAATAAAAAGGCACAATAATTTGTTAGTCAGTGTAAAATTCAGATAGATTGATATCCTAATCAGACTATCCTAGAGAAATGTGTCAGTCACCAACTCACCTTCCCTAAAAGACACTGAACCTCACTGTTCGCTTTCTGATCACAATGTGAAATAAGACCCAGTGTTCATCTGCTTTGTCTTATGACATTGCTAGTCCGCTAACTCTTCACTCTTGGTCCCAAAGTCTCTGTCTGAAGAGACTTGATCTAATTCCTGTAAAATGCCCATTTAGCTGGCTGAAAGCTCCGAGAGGACATAACATATCAGGACATCATCAAATTAGGGGACCAAAGTGTGGGGGTAATTGGCCAAAGTGCTTTTGTCATAATTGTCTTGACTATTTTCTAGTGTGGATTATGTTCCAGATGAACCTGTCATGTGACTCTTGGGAGTAGTTTGCAATCACCATTGGTCCAAAAGGAGCCATCTACGTGCTCAGCAGGGGCTGGTGAAGAGTAATATTGATGCTTCAGCAGCCAGGGCTCTGAAAGTAGCATCTGAAGTTGCAGTATGAGAAAGCCTAGTGTCACTCCAGGGCGGAGCTCACAAGGGCTGCCTTCCTGGTAAAAACCCCAGGGACTAGTTATGTAGCCCTGGGAGACAGCACCAAAAAGATGGGGCTTAAAAGAACCTGAGAGAAAGCAGAGGATCCTCTACTCTGATCCTAATCCTTAGCCCCACCTCTTAACTCTGGTTCAAAGCCTTTGTAATTCATTCTAACCTGGAATTAGCCTCAATAGCCAATCCAAACGCTGGCCTCCATCTTCATCCTAATCTTAATATTATCTGTAAAGTTTAACCCCAGGTTTCAGACCTAATGCCACCCATCATTCTAGCAGTTTAACGAAGGCTTTTTGCCTGACCACCAAGCGGTTTTCCCCAGCTCCTCTTCCTTGTGACCCTTGACCCTGACCCACTCACAGGAATACAGAACCCTGTAACATTTTAGACTACTGGGGAGAGTGGGAGCCAGGTTCAGTAATCAGGAAAAGGAAAAGAGCCCTGGCGTTTGAGGAAAAAGAATGTGGGGCATTTCTCACCTGAGCAGGAGATGGGGACCCTGCCAGTTTTAGCAAATCTCAGCCTCTCCGCAAGGCCAAGATGCAATCAGCTGTGGGGACTCCGCAGAGGCAGTAGACTTGGCCTAGAGCAGGGCATGTGAGGTCCTTCTGCAAAACGACAGGGTCCTACTAGGCAGTGGCTCTGTTTGCAGAGAGTAAGATTCTGATTGCCGCGCTCCTGTCTCCCTTAGATTGGTTGGGGCAGGGAGAGGTGTTCAAAGTGACTGAACCAGAACTTCTCCAGGGTTCCTTCCGGCCCTCAAGTTTCTTGATGTGCAATTGATTCTTTTCGTCACTTTCAATCCAGTTGGCATGGATAAACTCAGAGCTGAGGGAAAACAAGGGCAACCAACCATACCATCTCCGGCCTGTCTCAGGAAACTAAAAATAAATCAAGTAAAATAAAGACCACAAAGGAGAAAAGAAAGGAAGAGAAAATGCTGCCATTTCATGTCCTGTGTTCCCCATGTTCGTGAAGGAACTGCTGATTTCCCTGCTGTTCACACCCATCTTGCTAGGAAATTTGATTTGTACTGGCTTTTAAATTATTTCTTTTCAATAAATAAATGTTTTTCCCAGAAACACTTGACCTATGTAGGGAGAAGGGATTTAAATAATGAGACACCTCCCTATTACTACCACCCCAGAGATATCCTTTGTTAGCAGCTTGTTGTATGCCCTGCAGGTATTTTATTTGTATGTTGCCGTATAAACAAGTCTGTGCAAGACAGTATAGTCTACCTGCTTTTCTCTGATTTCTGAAATATGGCATGGATGTCTTCCATATCTCTGCACATAGCTTTGTGGTATAATCTTGTAGCCAAATGTATTAGTTAGGGTTCTTCTGAGAAAA